GGTCATCTAGCCAGGTTTCGAATTTGACCGGACGGCCCTCGGCGTCGAAAGCTAGAACAGGAGGACTAGCCATAGCGACAGCGGCAGTAGTAGAAGCAGTAAAGTCACTGAAAAGGCGTGCGCAGGGTCAGCGGGGCCGGTGGGGCCTACGGACTGTAGTGGCGCACAAGCAGCAGTAGCAGGAAGTGTAGTAGTAGGATCTGCAGTGGTGCACAGGCGCAGCAGGCGGCAGCGAGAGCCGGCGCAGCAGGGGCGGGCTCAGCAGCGGTGATACGCGGGCGGCGGCGGGCGCAGCAGCGGCGGTGCGCGGGCGGCGGCGGGCTCAGCAGCAGCGGTGCGCGGGCGGCTGCGGGCTCAGCAGCGGCGGGCCGGGAGCAGGCAGCGCGCGGGCCGTGCGGGCCGTATGTGAGCTGCGCGGGCAGCGTGCGGGCCGGCGGCGGTCAGCGCAAGAGCCGCGCAGGCTCAGCGCGGGCTGCTCGCGGGCTGCGTAAGCGGGTCGCGGGCGGCTCGCGGGGGTTCGCGGGCAGGTCGCGGGCTGCTCGCGGGCAGTTCGCGGGCTGTGCGCGGGCTGCGCGGGCTGGTCGCGGGCTGCGCAGGCGGTTCGCGGGCTGTGCGTGGGCGGTTCGCGGGCTGTGAGCGCGGCGCGCTGTGCGGTTCGCGGGCGGCGTGACGGGGCCGATCGGGGCGCTAAGGGGCGACGCGACGGGGGCCGTGAGAGGCCGCTAAAAAAAAATTCGAAGGGGCCGCAGGGCCGCTAGATCGTGCTAGATCGACGGGGCCAGCGGGGCCGGAAACAAGCGAAGGTAAGCAGGTAGGTAAGTCGGTGGGCCCTAAGAACAGTCCTAGCGAAGGACCTGCTCTGAAACCATGTCAGAAATAACTGAGCAGGAATGGAATGAACTAGCACAGAGTTTGGTACAAGTAGGAAACCCTAACTTTGAGTACCCCCTAAGGTGTAACCCACTACAGCCTACATAATATAAACATGCAATGTTTGACAATAGTTACGACAGAATCCAACTCGTATGACAATGTGCACGGTCACTGAATATCGTTGCGATTGGATCCAACTCGTATGACGACTTGCACAATTTTCAAAACGTTTTGACTTAATTTTTGTGTGTTGAAAAGGAAAAATGTGTATAGTCATTTAAAATGTTTTTTATCTGTTCCATATAATATCCCGCGTGATCAGTCACTTCTAGCTTACGAATGGTCAAATATGATATTTTTGCAAAAATATATATATATATTAAGATCTGCAACTTTCCCGCGCACGATCCTGTCAACAGAACTAGGCAAGAATGATTGAAAGGAGAGAGGGGTTTCACTAGCAGCAGTTGGGGTACATATAGCAAACCCTAACTGGGTTGTACTCGCTATAGAGCACCCCACTACAGGCTAGACAATAATAACATTCTGACACACCCCCATAGCCAAAGTGGGGTGTAATCAGTACAATGAGCAGGCATAGCAATAGTTCACAATTATAAGCAAAGCTAGAGGTGATCATAGAGGGCAAGTGAGGAGGAGGAGAAACTGTGAGGGCGAGAAGATGAAAGGCGCCGACTGAAGCTGCAGACACACGGGCAACAGGAGCGGCGCGCACAGTGGCTACCGAGCGCACGAGGGCACCGGACTACGGGAGTATCTGGCTCCGCGGCTACGACGAGCACACACAGGAGCAACGGACCCACAGGCGACTGGCGAAGCAGGCTCGCTGGGCTACCGAAACGCGCGAGGGCATCCGGACTACTGGCGCTGCTGGCGTCACGACGGCTACCTCCACGCAACCTCCCCCGACCGTCCCACGCCCCTCTCACACACCCCCTGCTGACACCCTAGCTCCACTTCCACGGCACCCCCCTTAAACCCTAAACCCTCGGCTCCCACACACCCACCCCCCTCAGCGGCAGCTGCAGCAGTGGGAGACGGAGGAGGAGGAGGAACAGGGAACGGCACTCAGTGGCTTCACCCCCATACCCCTCACCCCCAAACCCTAATTCAGGAGAACGGGCTGTAGGAGGGGTGGGGCGCCAGTAGAAGCACGGGGGACAGTGGGGAGGGCAGGGGCAGCGAGGAACGGGCCGCCCACGGGCCTGGCATAGCCGCCCGAACCGCGCGCAGGCGGCCCGAGCCGCGCGCGGGCCTGGCGCAGCCCGTACGGGCCGCACGCCGGCTGTACGGGCCGCGCGCAGGCCACGACGGGCGACGGGGGGCGACGCGTGGGACCCCGTCGCCCGTCGCAGCGCCTCCCGGGGGCGACGCGCCGAGTGACGGGGCAGAAACCCGCCGCGCGCCTCGGGGCGCACGGCGGGCTGAAAACCCTAAGTCAACGCCGCGCACCACGGGGCGCGCGGCGGACAGGGAGTAGCAGTAGCAGCGGAAGCAGTTAGGTGGCGGGCCCACCCACAGGATCGACCCAAGGGGGTCGACCTGCTCTGATACCATCTCAGAATAACTAGGCAAGAATGATTGAAAGGAGAGAGGGGTTTCACTAGCAGCAGTTGGGGTACATATAGCAAACCCTAACTGGGTTGTACTCGCTATAGAGCACCCCACTACAGGCTATCCAACTCGTATGACAATGTGCACGGTCACTGAATATCGTTGCGATTGGATCCAACTCGTATGACGACTTGCACAATTTTCAAAACGTTTTAACTTAATTTTTGTGTGTTGAAAAGGAAAAATGTGTATAGTCATTTAAAATGTTTTTTATCTGTTCCATATAATATCCCGCGTGATCAGTCACTTCTAGCTTACGAATGGTCAAATATGAAATTTTTGCAAAAATGTATATATATATATTAAGATCTGCAACTTTCCCGCGCACGATCCTGGGATAGACGAACTCCAAATGCGAGTCGAGTTACACGTTTAGGGTTGATTTGCTCGAAAACATGCGCAGGTCCCCTGCGAGTTTTATACATAACTATACAGATATGCACGCACAAACACATGCACACACATACGACTGTTTCATGTGTGAGCATTCATGTGATTTTTCACCGGTAAACATCGTCTGAACGCGTGAACCCTATTATGTTACTCGTAAAATTACCCCTTTACCTAGCCGTTATCGGGAAGCCTTTTTTTTTTTTTAAATACTGATCGCATATTTTCCCCAATTTTGTGCGATGGAAGTACACAGTTATATCAGAAAGAATAGCACGTAATAAAGGAAACTTGAGTCGCGATTCAATATAATCACCTAAAATCTGTGTTCAATGCGACATAGTCATGTGAAACAAATAGTGATGATCAAGTCATTTGTGACAAATTATGGAAGCAAGTGGTAACTAAGTGTTTGCCCTAGAACCAAAGGAGACATAGAATCTGCTTGGGATAATTGTAGAGTCGATGCTCATCCTATCATACAAAGTTTGCTCGTCTCAGTTAGAAATTTACTCATTCGCGAAAGTTTTTGCCCGTAATGTGACTAAATTGAGCATTTGGAAAAATTCAGTGTACACATGATGCTCACCACCTGCATGCGAATTTGCCCTGCATCGGATGGAAACCTTGCACCCGTGGTTTTTTTGCCGTGAAGTTGCACCCACGTTACAAGCACCTCGAGCAAGTTGCAGTGATATTAACCAATACGAACCACAGAAACTGAAGTTGGACTGAAGAGACCAAAGTCAAACGGTCAACGGTGAGTTAAATTTTTTTTTTTTTGTAAGCCATTTTTGCTACGCGCGATTTGACGAAACCTTGGCGAAATACAAGAATCACATATAAGCCCAGAGAGTAAGGCAAGGTCGGGTGGCTCAACCGGGCATCGCGTGTACACTCACTAAATTACGGAAGTCAACATCTACCGTTAAAAAAAACAAGGGTAGCCCGTGAGACGGTGTTAACGGGAGTGGAGTGTTGGCCCCGCCCTCGCTTGGGCAACGCCGACGACTTGGTCGGATGTACGGACGAAGCAGTCGACCGTTCGCAGTGAAAGTGCTGCTCGACGGGCTTCGTTGAGCTGCAGGGGTTCACTGTAGTGTTGTCGTCGACCAGGAGTGCCCGACGGCCTTCTTCTGTGGGGCAGGTCGACGAGGTGGCTGTCGACCTGCACAGGACTGTCACGGGGCTGGAGCCGTCGACCAGGGAGCTCGATAGCTGCAGCTGACTGGGCTGGGCGACGGGTGGGCCGTCGACCAGGAGGGGCAGTTCGACCGGGAGGTCGACGGAGCAGTCCGTCGACCTGACAAGTGAGCAGCGGTCGATGAGGGGAGCTCGTCGACAACAGCTGACAGTTCAGGTCGATGGAGGGGGGCCCGTCGACCAGGGGGTAGCTCGACGGGAGCTGTGGTCGACCAGGGGCACCTGGTAGTCGACCAGAGGCACCTGGTCGTCGACCAGATGCACTGGTGGTCGACCAGAGCACTTGGTGGTCGACCAGGTAGACCAGGTAACCTGCTCGGCAAGTTCTGCGGAGACACGCGAATGTCATCGAGTTCGCAGTGACGAAGGCGACTTCGGGATGGTATCCCGAAGTCAATGTGGTTTGTCAGGCGCAGACAACAGCCGACGGATGCACAACGGTGCAAGTCGGGCCAATCGTCTGCGCACACCTGCGAGCGTGCGCACTGCTGCCATCTACGGGTGCAACGCTGGACAGCCGCACTGCTGCAGCGGTAACCCCGCCACCTGTAACTTGCCTTTGCTCGGTTCAGGCCCTATGACAGCCTCCCGTTGTGCCCCAACAGACACGTCACCTCCTCATGCCGTGGTGACATTGAAGCCCAATGCCAAAAGAACAATCCCGATGCATCTGCACCCAGCGAAGTCCCTACCCACAATAAACCTCGCCTTGCAAAATACGCACACTCTTCTCACTAACCAAGCAAAACACCATAAAGAGTGATTGGAAATTCAGGTCCAACCACTCTTCCTCCTCACACTGTGGCCCGAAATGCTGCGCCTTTACCATCGAGCTCAGCTCGCCCTTCATATCAAGCGCGCGCTATGCGCGCACCACGTCGACAACCCCCAGCTGCGTCATGTTGACCTTCCACGATGGTGCTTCATGCGATGTGATCGCATGGCTGAACGACGCCTGGATGAACATCCCGGCGCGCACCATCCAGAGGTGCTGGTGGCGCACGGGATGCCTTCCGCTCGTATGGGCCATGGACTTGGCGCATGTCGCGGCGGAGGGTGCCTGCAACCCAGCCAGTGTGGCCGACATTGGGCTCGACGCCGAGGTCGACGGGGTCGGCCTCCTTGTCGACCGTCTCTATCTCTGTTCTAGCTCGATGGCGGCGACGGATTTCATCGCCGTGGATGACAACCAACCTACTTGCGCGGAGCCGGGTGATGATCCTCTTGCGGCGGAGCCGCGTCTGGCCCCTACGCACGACACGTGGGCGCCGCCCTCGACAATGCAGGAGGTCTACGACGATGCCAACTCGGCATCCCGCGAAGCGCGGCGCACGGCACGTGCGGCATGCGAAATGCTAATCGGTTATGCGAAGGCGACCTGCATCACCCCGCGGGACTTGTGCACCCTCTTCGATATCCGCAACCCCATTATCCGGGCGCGGATGGAGCGCGCAAGCCCGCCTCTGAACCTCAACTCGACCCCGCCCCCCGCCATGACGGTTGCCTCTACCCCATAGGCTGAGACCCCCCCGTTCCCGTGGCAGGGTCCTCCCGACGTGGATGACGGTCCCTACTGCGGACTGGGTCGCGTAGTCAGCTCGCCGCCAGGAGCTAGTTGACGCAGGTGCCCCGGCCGTCATGAGCGGCTACATCGCCGCGGCGGAATGGATGAGGCTTTGAGTGTTATGTAGTCGCGAGCGATATGGAGAGGGACTTGTTCCTCTACAGAATGTGCACGATTTGTGCACAGATGGCCCATGGGAAGATGTAATGGTTGATGGTTTGTATGGGGACAGGTGGGGTTATGTCATTGGCTGGGAAGTTGGATGTAGTTGTTTGTGACAAGAGGAGTAGGGAATTGTACTCGCAAGCAATAGTGTATGGGCGAAAAATGGTAACCTCGTCAAAACACTAACAAAAAACAGTGCAACCCGTCACCTTTTAGGAAAAACAATCCAGTTACAACAGGTGTTTTTTACAAGCACCCCACACCCTGTCGAACTGGGGCAAATCCCCTGAAATGACAGAATCGGTTATAAGCCCAGATGACATGTCAAAGTCGGGAGACTCTAGCGAGAATCAGCTGTACTTTTCTGGCCACTACTGTGTGGAGTGTGGACTTTCTGACTGCCCCCGCAACAGTGCGAAGCAGTGACGACTTCTGCTGACCAGTCAACAGAAATTTCGTTGGAATAGTGCGCGCTCAGACGCTGGCGATTACGCCACACGCTTCACTTTCCAACTCAGCTTTAGTGTCGTTTCGACATTTTATTTCCCTGCCCTCCGATATTTTAGTGTATCTTGAATTACCGGAATTGGTTATTTTCCTTTTTGGTGGTTGTCCGCAGACCTCGGCATCAGGCGTAACAGCGAACACTTGCTAAGGATGGTAAGTTCGTTCCTTCGTTCGCACGCTTCATCGCCAACGAGGCACTTTGCCTGCAGTGCCTCCTCGGTCGTTCGTTACCTTCAATGTCTGGCTGGGTCCGCTGGGGACGGGGCAAGTCCTTGGATGATTGGATCGAGCAATGCTGATGCAATTCTGCTGCCAAGATTGTGTGCGTGGCTGCCAGCTAGGTCGTCCACTCCACTTGCTAGCGCTGTCTGGTTCGTCCTTCAAAGTGATTCGAATTGACTCGCCTCGTCGCCACCACCGACACGTCGCGCCCAATTGAGCTTGAATTCGTGCGGACCACCACCACCATTGCAGTGCATCGCATGTGAGAGAAGGACACCCTGTTCGCACGAACAGGGTGTATCGTATGTAAAGTGATGTGAGCTCCAATTCCCAAAATCCGTCTGACCACACGTGTAGATTTTTCCGTACAACATCCAAAAGTTCCTCTCCCTTGCATTTTCATAGCCTAGCTACACAAGATGCCCAACCCCTGCACGCGAAATTGCCTCGCACGTTCCAGAAACCTTGCACACGAAGGTTTTTTCCCGGGCAGTTGCACCCACGTTACAAGCACGTCAACCAATACGAACCACAGAAACAGAAGAGACCGAAGTCAAACAGTCAACGGTGAGTTACAAAATTTTGCTATAAGCCCTTTTTGCCCGATGCGAATTGACGAAACCTCCACGAAATGCATGAATCACTTAAGCGCCCCCTTCACAAGGCAACCTTGGGTTAGTCAAACGGACATCGTGTGTACCTCGTTTAGCACCATCCGCGCAGTTTTCTTAGTCGGCTGCTGGTGTCGGATCGGAACTTCCAAATAAAGTCAGCACAGCAGCTGCCAACAGCCTCGCAAAGTGCTCGCGTCACAGCTAATCAAGTGCCTTCGAAATTTCTCATGCACGCCAGCCTCCCTCCCAACGGTCTCTTTGCCACACGGGACCGAAAGCCCACGAGCGCATAGCCCAGCATGCTAACCACCAGAAAGCCTTCACCTAGCAGCACCAGCAGCACGAGTACCGTCGAGCTCCTCAACAATTCTTGTGGCAGCACTAGCAGCACATGCAGATCGGAAACTTCGAACAGCGGTGTTACCACCAGCAGCAGCAGCGCGAATAATGCCGCAGCGCGCAGCAGCACGCCATTGCTCGCGCGGCGTGGTCGGGTAACACCGCTGCCCAGAGTGGAGTTACCCCTCCGCGTTGCGATCCCTTCAACATTGCAAGGAGTCAAACGTCGCCCGCCAGCATCACTTCAAATTCCCGAGGGTGGTGGAGCCAAGCCATCCCCAGAACACTCTCAAGTCCAACCTCAGCTGCTATTACAGCTCCAGCAACTAAAACGCGCCGGCAGTCCGGAGTCCGGCGGACCTCGGCTCCGCGTTGCGATCCCTTCAAGCTCCGCCGCCATGCTACCGTCGGATTTTCATGAAAACGCGCCGCGGGATTGTGAGAACGCGCCGCGACTTGGGAATGTCGTCGCGGCGCAGCGCGGGAATGACGCCGCGCGGAGCATCAGCGCGGCAGCCTCCGCGGGAAATCGCCGCCGCCCGGTCGAACTGGAAATACTCGCGGTGGCGGAAGGCGCCGCGGCGGACGGCGACGAGATCGCGCCCAGCCCTCGCCGCAGTAGCAGCGACTCTGTAAGCCATCGCGCCGCGAACGACGCGGCGCGAAGAGGCGCTCAGTACTGCTCTGATCAACGCTCCATCTGCGCCGCTGCATCTGCCGCAGCCGCCGCAGCCGTCGCATCCGCTGCCAGCGACAATGGTGGCTTCAACAGGGAGAGTCGCCCGCACCTATTCGTCAAATCGGCGACAATCGCGGGGCCCGACTCGGATGGCAGCAGGTACAGGGCTAGTAGGAGTTTGGGAGGCTCGCCACGGCAAAAGCCGCCGCACCATCTGCCGCATCAGCCGCCGCCAAGAACGCAGAACCCGCCGGTTGTGGTTGCGGCACAACCGCGCCACAGCGGCGTCTCCTCGACGGCGATGGAGGCGGCGACGGCGGCAGCGACGGCAGCCGCGGCGCAGGTGTACGCGAGGCGCGTGGAACGAGGCTTAACAACCATGGGGAGTCGCTCTTACAGCGGCACTATTACAACAAGTCGCCGTTCTGTCCAGCTGGCACTTCAGAAATTTCAACAACCAACAGCGCTCTCAGTCGAGTTGCCACAGTCGGTTTCCCCATCCTCCGAAGTTTCCCCGCCCTCCGTTTCCCCTCGCGCGCAACGGGTCCCGCGGCCGCCAGACTACCGCCGAGACACATTAGCATGGGCCGACCTATCTCCCGGGAATATTGCGGCTGCGTCTGTGGCTGCTGATGCGGCGACGGCGGGGGCGGAGTATTATTTGCGTGACAGTCAGGGGAGTCCGACTATGTGCGCAGCGGCGGCCGGCGGCCCGCAGACGATCACGCGGCGCCGAACAAGTCCACGGAGTACGGCGCGCCCGGTGTCGCCCAGCGGCGGCGGCGCGGATGCAGGGCCGGGCGGCGCGTTCTCCCTGGGGGAAGCCGCCGCGACAGGCCCGAGGGTCATGCGGCGGGCGAAAACGCTTCCGCTCAGAGGGGAAGACGGGATTGTCGGTTTGTTTTGCACGGAAGTCCCATCCCCACCCGCCTACCCCAAGCCCGCGCATCCTTCCCCGCGCACGCAGCGCAGCCTGCAGAGGCTGGCGAACTTCCGCGGCCAGCCGTACTCGCCCCCGGCAGTAGCAGCAGCAGCGTCGCGGAAAACTGCTACAGCTGGCGGCGCGGCTGCGAGCGACGGTGGGGCAGACGACTGTGGAAGGGAAGCAGACTCTGCTGCTGCTGCGGAAGGTGCTGCTGCGGCGGGCAGTGGGGACAACTGTTGCGGCGCTGATCAAAACAGGCGCCGTGTTGGCCGAAGCTGCGAGTTCAAACGCCGCCTATCGCCCCTGTCCCCTTTCTCACCTTCTGCCCCATTTTCGCCCTCCGCCCACTTCTCCCCCTCCGCCCACTTCTCGCCCTCCGCCCATTTCTCGCCCTCTGCCCACTTCTCCCCTTCCGCCCACTTCTCGCCCTCCGCCCATTTCTCCCGCTCCGCCCACATCTCCCCCTCCGCCCACTTCTCGCCCTCCGCCGACTTCGCGCCCTCCGCCCCGTCCTCGCCGCGACCCTTCTCCCCGTCGAGTTCCTCGCCGTTGTCACGTCCGCCTGCAGCCCCCGCCCTCCGAAACCGGTCTCCGCAGCCCGCTTGCGCTGCTGCGCACGCTTCTAACTGTCCGCGGTCCGAGTACAGCTGCCCGCGGTCCGAGCACAGCTGCCCGCGGTCCGAGCACAGCTGCCCGCGATCCAATCTCTGCCGGGAGTCCCACGCGCAGCAGCAGCGATTCCGCGTTGCCGCCCAAGAGATGGGATACCGCGAACAGCAGCCGCAACCGCAGTCACGGCAGATCAAGACGGACGGAGAAGAGGAACGGCAGCCGCGGCCGCGACAGGTCAAGACAGAAGGAGAAGAGGAACAGCAGCCGCGATCGCGACAGGCGAATCGTCAGATAGTACTACAGGGGCCGCCCGGCCGAGGCACTGCGATGACCATGCCGCACGCGCGCGACGCGGGACCGTCATCCAACGGCCACGACCACTACGGACTGAATCCGCGGCGCCATCAGCAGTATTATTCTCGACCTACGGCCGCTGCAGGCGGCGGGCCGCGGTGTGGCGCTCACGAAGCGCGCTCCGTCAGACGCGATCCTCCTAACAATGACGCTACCTCGAACGTAAACTCGTCGAGTGCTGACGTGGCGCAGATCCACTGCCGCACGGTCTCGCCGCGGCATTACAGGGATATCCGTCCTCTCAGCCTGGCGGGTGACTCGCTCGGGCGCGCGCGCGTCGAAGGCGCGGGCCCAGTTTCTCCCGTCTCGCTGGTCGCGCAGCGCCTGGAGGTGTGGTTCGAGGAGGCCACGTCAGCAGGGACTTGGCCGCATCCTCGCCACAGCCCATCCCGAGCATCAGTTGCGTCAGCAAGGTCATGATTGGTCAATCTGATTCTAAACCTTAACCCGTGCTTCCTGTGCTGCCAGCGAGTTTTGAGCCGTGATTCCTCGGCTGTCGTGTTGTGTGGTGGAGGTTCGAGTTTTGCTGCTGGTGGTATACCACCACGTCGTCCGTACTCTGTGCCTACAATTGTCCCGACAGAGAGTGCGGGCGGGCAGGAGTGTGCAGCGGGGCGAGCAGCGGCAGCAGCGGGATGAGGAATCAGAGCTGCTCTTTGTTCAAGGGGGGGTGGGGGGGGGGTGGGGGGGGGGAGTAGAGAAAGGGGGGACATTGGGGGAACGTCAGTATCACCAGGAGCATCAGCGCAGCGCACCTTATCAACTGCCATCTACCGTATCAACGCGGATTCACGAACATTGATCTACTAGCACGGATATGCTACCGTTTAACATTGGTACACATACAGTACTACTGCAGATCTGCTAACATGGGATCTACCACGGTGATATGCTAACAAAGGATCTACCATACCACGATCTACAAACGGAGATCAGCTAACGAGAATCTGCGTATCCACTAACGAGTTCCTCCTAACCCTTGCTCCACTGCCTGTGTCCATGTGACTCACATCAAAGCTGTACGGCTAGTGCAAGGCTGGCAGCAACCACAGGGTAATCTCCAGATTGCAAGATTCAGAGGGGACCAGTGCCGTGCCATGCCGGAGTTCTGCCAGAGTTTTGCGAGCTGATGCCTTTCACTCAACACTACCATTGCCTCCTATTGAGGCTACCGTATATGTTTTGACGGCACCTCCTTTCAAGTGCTGTTGGAATGCTTTGCTACATACATACTACTGCTACATAGAGATGTTACAATGCTTTGCTCCTTAGTAGTACTGCAAATCCCTCTTATTCAAGGATGCATTGCCATACTGTCTGCTTTCATGGCATCTATTGGGTCCAATATAAAAGATATTTTATTACATTGCACTGCTTGCTCTGTGCTACACTATCTACCTTAGCATACATTACCCTTTTTTCTCCCCACCTACTGGTAATAATTAGCACACATTTCTGCCCAAGCCAGACCGTAGCAGCCTCCTCAGCTGCAACAGAAATACAATAATTCTTCCAGCCTTACACTCCAAAGAGCCCCCTGCTACCTGGAACTCTTCCTTCTTGGTAAACCAACTGCTCCTACTCCTAGTCTTGCACCGGACCCCCCTCGACCATCACTCACCTTCCCTTCACTCAAGGCTGTAGCAACGGAACCAGCAGCCAAGGGAGCATCTTGGTTCGGCAACGGACCAGAGCCGCTTCTCCCAATCCCATGGGACGACCCAGGTCTGGATCCGGGCCTGGATCCGGGCCTGGAGCCTTGGCCCGAGCCAGGCCTCGAGCCTGAAGTGGCGGTTGGGACATGGCCCCATGTCCTGAGGTTGTCACTTGGGTGCTGCTGCTGCTGCTGCTGCTGCTGCTGCTGCTGCTGCTGCTGCTGCTGCTTCTGCAGTGGTGATGGTGGTGATGGTGCTGATGCTCCTGCTGCTGTTGGCGGTTGTGACGGCGGGTGATAAGGCTGCAGTGGCTGGTGGTGGCTGTTGAAACTGGACGACCGGGGGACCTGTCTCAAGTGGTCAGATGAGTGCGGTCCCTGCAGCGGCTGCGGCTGCGGCTGCAATGGCTCGTGGTTACTGTTGAAACTGGACGACCGGGGAACCAACCGCGAGTGGTCAGATGAGTGTGAACCCTGTACCGGCTGCTGCGGCAGCAGTGGCTGGTGGTGGCTATTGAAACTGGACGACCGTGGGACTGCCTCGGACTCGGACCTTGGTATGGGCACGCGAGGTCTTTCCACCTGTGCTGCTGCTGTTGACTGCGTTCCCTGCACCTGCTGCTGCGGCAGCAGAGGCTGGTGGTGACTGTTGAAGCTGGACGACCTAGGGATTGACTCGGACTCAGACCGCGCAATTGGCACGCGTGGCCTCTCCTGTGTTGGCGCTCTCTCCCTCTCCCCACTGCCACTCGCACTCACAACCCCCCCTGCATGTCTTCTCACCCTACCCACTCCTCCTGTCCCTCCTGCTCCTCCTGCTGTCCCTGCTCCTCCTGCTGCTCCTCCTTCTGCTTCAGAGCTTGCCCTGAGTGCTGCTGTCTGGGATGCCATGCCGTGTGTCACTACATCGACCGATACACTACGAGCCACACCATGCCACCCACCTGCACTGGTTCCAACACCACCACCACCACTGACCCCCTCTCTCCGTGCCTGCCCCTGCCCCCGCTCCCCTTCCTTTGATCGCTTGGCCCACGCTGCCAATGCCGCACTCGCACTGCTTGCCTTCTCTAGAGGAACCCGCTGCTGCTGCTGCTGCTGCTGCTGTTGCTGTTGCTGCTGCTGCTGCTGCAGCTGTTCCTGCTGCTGCTGCGGCTGCTGCTGAAGGTGCTGTTGCTGCAGTGATAGCTGTTTCTGAAAAAACTCCCTCCCATCGTGCTGCTGATCGGCTGAAATAGCCCGCGGCAGCTGCGCCTTCCCCTTCCGGACCTGCCGCATCCGACCCTCCAGCGGTGCCTGGGGGACGCCCGACTGCTGAGCCTCCAGCTGCCGAGCCTCCGGCTGTCGAACCTCCTGCTGCCGAGCCTGCGCCAGGCGCTGCTGCTGCAGGTGCAGAGGCCGTTCCTGCATCGACCCAGAACCCCAGGGAGGCCTTGCAGAGGAAGGGGAGGCAGAGGAGGAAGCAGAAGAGAGAGAAGCAGAAGGAGGGAGGGAGAAAATGGCTGGTGCTGATGATTCGGAGCGGCGTTCTTTCATGGAGAGGGAGGGAGGCAGGGTCATGGCTGCTGCTACTGCTGCCCGTGTCGCCAGCTGAAACCCACTCGACCTCCGGGTTAGTTTTCGAAGTGCCCTTGGGGATTTGACAGGAAAGTCGAGAGACGCCCGTTCGGTTGGGAATCGCCTCTCCTCCCCGTCCTCCTCTCTTCCCTCCTCTTTCCCTCCCTTTCCCTCTTCGCCGCTTAAGAAATCCGCCTTGCCTGCCCCCTCTCCCCTGCCTGGCGTATTCACACTGCGTCCCCCATATCCCCTCTCCCCCTCACCCCCCCTATTTCCCCCATCCGCCCCCTCTCCGTGTCCCGAGGGGCGAGGGGAGCGGAAACCGCCAGGGGAGAGGAAGCTGCGGGGGGAGAGGAGAGAATGTGGGGAGAGGAGAGCGCGGGGGGACTTGGCCCCAAACCTATCGCCCATGCCTGAAGCCCAGGTCTTGGTGGGTGCGAGGGGAGCGAGGACTTTCATGGATGTTTTCACGGACGTTTTCATTGCTGCTGCCAGCCCCGATCCTGCTGCTCCCAGCTTCGTTCGGCCGCTCCTGCTGGCCGAACCACCTGGGTTGACACCACTGGCAGCAGTGGCACCAGCAGCACCATCACCAACACTAGCAGTCGCAGCAGCAGCAGCAGCAGCAGCAGCAGCAGCAGCAGCAGCAGCTGCTGTGGCGGCGGCGGCGGCAGCGGCGGCGGCGGCGGCAGCAGAGTCCCAGTGTCCTGCCCTTTGTGCATCGCCCCTGTGGGGGCTGAGCAGGTGCATACCTTTACCAACCCCTGCCACCCCGTGCGGACCCGACCACCCCCTCCGCCACCCCCCACTCGACTTTGGCCGCCCTCCTGTTGGTGTTGCTGCCGCTGCTTCTACTGCCGCCCATCCTGTTCCTCCTGCTGCCCCCGCTTCCCCCGTTTTCTCTCCCAAGTTCCCCGTGCTGCTGTCACCCCACTGCATCTGCTGCATCTGCGTCTGCGTGTCCGACCAGCTAGTCGGCAACCGAGGGGCAACACCAGCTTGAGTAACACCCAAAACCCCTCCCTCCCCATCACCCAAAACCCCTCCCTCCCCGTCTCGATTAACCACACCACATGCCTCCGGAAACGCCCCCTCTTCGGTGTTCCCTCCCGCGGCTCCTGGGTCCCTGACCTGGGTGCTTGAATTACCCTCTACCATTATCAGCCTCGAGTGTTGCAAATGAGGTTCATGCCCCTCTCTCCCTTCTCTCCCTTCTCTCCCCTCTCTCCCTTCTCTCCCTTCTCTCCCTTCTCTCCCTTCTCTCCCCTCTGTCCCCTCTCCCTCCTCTCTCCCATCCCTCCCCTCTCTCCTCTCCTCTCCCCCCTCTGACTTGTGCTTTCTAAAGAAATTCCGCGGCGAGAGGGGGAAGAGGCGCGGGGAATGAGGAGGAGGCGTGCCGGGAACCGCACCAAAACCCGACCCTCCTGGGAACTGGCGGGAGAGGAACGACCGCGGGGTGACAACAGGGTTTGGATGGGGCTCCGAAGGGGGTGTGCCTCGAACTGCACCAAACCCTGACCGGGGGGTCAATGCTGGAATAAACTCACTCCCTGCACCTGCTGCTCCTGCTGCCCCTGCTGCTACTGCTGACAATGCCAGCACCGCTTGCTGATGCTGCTGCTGATGCTGCTGCTGCTGCTGCTGCTGCTGCTGCTGGTGCTTCCCCGGAGAATGCTTCTTTTCTTTGTACCCTCGTCTGCGTCCCAGCAGAGGCGAGCGCAGGGGGGACGAGGAATGGGAGGCAGGGTCTTTGAGCGGACGGGAGGGAGGCGTGGGAGTTAAGGGAGGGGTGGGTGTGAGGGGCGCAGTGGGCGTCAGGCCACCACTGGTGGAGGAACGTGTGGGTGTCACGTCACTGCTAGTAGTGCCAGCTCCAGCAGTGGCATCGCTGCTGGCAGAGCGAGACACATTGGCACTAGCAGAGCAAGCACCATCACTGGCGCACGCAGCGGCAGCAGAGGGGGAGGCTGCAGAAGGGAGGGAGAGGCGGGAGTGGGGCACTGCAGGTCCCTTTCGCCTGGACCACAGGTCGCCCTTGAACCCTCCCTTGTGCCCTCCGTGCCGCCTCTCAGCTGCTGGACTGGGGGTGCCGGTAGTGGGAGAGGAGGCTGCAGGACTTGGGGCGGTGGGAGAGAAGGCCACAGGGCTTGTTGCATGGCTTGACGCAATGGGAGAGGAGGCTGCACTGCCTGCTGCTGGGGAAACCAGACTCGCAACCCCGGCAGCAGCAGCAGTGGCAGCGGGAGCAGCAGGGGAGGAAGCAGGGGAAGCAGCAGCAGCAGCAGCAGCAGCATGTGCCCGGGCGTAAAGACCAACAGTCCCCCCAACAGGGGGGGCGGCAGGCAGGATCGCCTGCTGAGGCGCGTGAGCGGAAAGACCCTGCTGCTCGCGTGAATTGTTGCGGAACCTCAGGAAGAAAGCAGGATCAGCAGCAGCTGCTCCTGTGAGGCCCACAGGTGTGGCAAGGACTCCCCCTGGGCTGTCTATGCTCTCACAAGGACTCAGCATGCCTCCCCCGTGTGGACTGAACATGCTGCTGCCGTCCATGCTCAGCCCGCACTCCATGCTCAACGTGCTGCACCGCTCTGCACCGCGCTGCTTCCACGCCGGCTGGAACGGCTGCTGCTGCTGCTGATGCTGCTGCAAGGGCAGCAATAGGTGGGGGGAATCGCCGCCACTGGTTGAAACGGAAAGGGAAGTGCCTGGCACTCTGGGCACACCAGGCACACCTGGCCTGGTGTCCCAGCCATGACACACCACGGCCTCCCCCTCGCTGCCACTGCTCCCCTCATCCATCCCTTCAGCCCCCTCCTGCCCATCTCCCACCCGCCGTTGCTCCCGCCGCCGCTGCTGCTGCTGCTGCTGCTGCTGCTGCAGCTGTTGTTCCTGCTGGTGCTGCTCGTGAAGCGCCTTCGTGCCAGCACCTACCGCTGCAGCGCCTGTTGTCACCGCCGCGGCGGTAGGTGCTGTTGTCTCTGCTGTGCGCACCCCCTCCCAGCTACCGCTACCACCAACCAGTCTATTCTCCCCTCCCAGTTCTAGACCATCACCTGCCCTGCTGCTCCCCAGCCTATTGTCCAGCATGCATGCTGAGCCCTGTACCTCCTCACTCCTGCACACGGGAACAGGCACCCGGTCCCCTCCAACCCCTCCAAAACCTCCTGCAACTCCCTCTACCGCTCTTGCTCCCTCTGCCCGTCGCCCATGTGCTCTCCCTCCTCGCCCCGCCCCTCTCCCTTTGCTCGGTCCTACTCTTCTCCCTCCTCTTCCCTCCACCGCCCCACCTCCCTCCCCTCCTCCTCCGCCTCTCCTCTCTCCCATCCTGCTAGGCGAACCAAACGGAGGCTCGCCACGAGGTCCGGGAATGAGAGGCTCGGGAACAAGAGGTCTGGCAATGGGCGTGTGAGGGTCGTCCTCTGGCAGTGGTGTCGCACACTCATCTGAGAACACCTCCTCCTCCTCCTCATCCTCCCTTTCCTCCCCATGCTCCCTGTTCTTGCCATGCACACCATTCGGTCCATTCCCCATAAAGCCACCCGGGCTGCCTGAACCATGCCGCTCCTGACCATCCTCCTCCCTCTCCTCTTCCGCCTCCTCCGCCCCGTCCTGAAATGGTTGGTCCGTGAGAGCAGCGGCGGGCGGAGGAGGGTTGTCGAGCCGCTGCTTGAGCTTGCGCTGCACGAGTGCTCTGAGCAGGTCCATGAGCTTGATGACGTGCTGGAAGCCGATGAGCGGGTCCACGATCTGAGCAGGAAAGAAGGGGGAAAACAGGGGTGGAGGGTATTTGCCTCTGCTGCGGTATGCACTGCACTCTCCGCACCCTCAGCAGCTTTCGCACCACTCTGAGCAGGTCCATGAGCTTGATGACGTGCTGGAAGCCAATGAGCGGGTCCACGATCTGAGAGGGAACACGGAGGCAGGGAGAGGGGGGAAGGAGGGAGAGAGCAAGGAGAGAGGAGGGAGAACGAGCGGAGGGAGAGAGGAGGGAAGGAGTGATGAGGTAAGAAGGAATAAAGAAATAGAAGAGGGAGGGGGGGGGGGGGGGGGAGAAGGAATGGTCTTCTCCCACCACTCTCGCTGCTTTCTGAGCCAGCTGGAAACTTACATGAGCCACCTGAAAACCCACCTGAGGCACCTGACAACCCACCTGAACCATCCCCCAGCCCACCTGGGTCATATTTGGAGCAAAGTCAACAGCGATGTTCTGGGCGTTCATCTTGTTGCTCGCCTCGTGCTGCACCACATCCGCCATCAGCCCCACCGCCCAGTCCACCTTCCAGACCTCTTGAAACGGAACCACAACCGAGCCACACCATCATACCCGATCCAGCCCCTCCTCAGACATCAGGCACCTCCCAGCCCACCTGGGTCATGTTGGGCGCGAAGACAACAGCAATGTTATGCGCGTTCATCTTGTTGCTGGCCTCGTGCTGCACCACATCCGCCATGAGCCCCACAGCCCAGTCCAGCATGCCGGCCTGCAGCGCGGGCAGTGTGGCCACCAGCGCCAGCATCTGCTCCTCCCTCTCTGCTGCCGCTACTTTCTCTGGCTTTAGGCGGTCCAGCAGGCCTTCTGGTAGCTCCCTAAACCACGCCTGCATGCATGGGGGGTTCGGGGGGGTTGGGGGTTCAAGTCAGGCAGTGTGGCCACCAGCGCCAGCATCTGCTCCTCCCTCTCTGCTGCTGCTACCTTCTCTGGCTTCAGCCAGTCCAGTAATCCTTCCGGCAGCTCACGGAACCATGCCTGGATGGGGGGGCGTGGGGACGGGGGGAAGAGGAATACCAGGGTGAGGGGAAAGGGGAAAAGAAGGATGGGAAAAAGGCGGATGGGAATGGGGATGGGATACAACGCAAAGGGGGAGGCATGAGCCCCACCGCCCAGTCGAGCATGCCGGCCTGCAGGGCGGGCAGTGTGGCCACCAGTGCGAGCATCTGCTCCTCCCTCTCTGCCGCTGCTACTTTTTCAGGCTTCAGGCGGTCCAACAGACCCTCTGGTAGCTCCCTAAACCACGCTTGCATAAGAAAGAGGGAATGGAGGACGGGGGGGGAGTGAGTATGGGAGAACCAGGAGGAAGGGAATGGCAAGTGATGAGCATGCCGGCCTGAAAGGCGGGCAGAGTGGCCACCAACGCCAGCATCTGCTTCTCCCTCTCTGCTGCAGCCACCTTTTCCGGTTGAAGGCGGTCGAGAAGGCCTTCTGGTAATTCTCTGAACCATGCCTGCATGAGGTTAAGGGTCGGGGACCGGGGTGGAGTGGCAGAGCAATCAAGGAAAAAACCACGAGGGTGAGGAAGCGGGAAAGAGCAGCTGCAGATGGGATAGGGATGGAGAGGGGGGAGACAAGGGTGGGAGAAAGAGGAGTGAGAGAGGAGAGAGAAGGGAAGGAGGGTGAGGAATGAGCGGTGGGAGGGTGGGTTGACTACCTTGACAAGGCCTGCGATGCGATGGCATGCACGTCGATGTTGCGTGGCACACGACCGGCGGGGGGGTGGTGGGGAGGTGGGGTTTTGGTGTGAGAGAGGGAGGGAGGGAGGGGAAAGGAGAAAGATGACGGAGAGGAGAGGTGGGAAGGGAGGGAGAGTACCTTGATGAGGCCTGCGATGGCATGCACGTCGATGTTGCGCGGCACCAGGCCCAGGTTGACCTGTATGGGGCGAGGCAAGGAGAGGTGGAGGCGGTTTTTGAGAATTCTCAAAAATGTTGCGCGGCACCAGGCCCAGGTTGACCTGAGTATTTTTGAGAACTGTCAAAAATACTCTACATGGCCCAGGTTGACCTGCATGGGGCGCGGCAGGGCGAGGTGGAGGCAATGCGCACACGGAGAGGGAGAAACAGAGGGAGATTAAGTGGAAACCATAATATGACTGGCACGGGTTACAGCGTACAGAAGGGAGGTGACGCGGACGGAGAAGGGAGGGACGGACGCTAATATCAGAAGGTTGAAGCGTGATATGAAATGAGGCGCGACTGAGGTGGCGAGAAGGAAAATAGCGATACTACAGCTGATGATTGATGATGGTTGATGGGTGCAGTGCAGCAGGCAATGCAGCTGGCACGAGACAGACACATACACACAGTTCTCTTCTCTCTGATCTGACCCACCTGCTCTCGGATCCAGTCCTCATGGTCGTTCTGTGCTGCCACTCGAAATATGCCCTCCGTCTGTCTCCCTCCAATCAAGGTTGTGGGGCGAAGAGGGTTGGGGATGGGCGAGGAGGGTTGGGGATGGGCGAGGAGGGTTGGGGATGGGCGAGGAGAGTTGGGGATGGGCGAGGAGAGTTGGGGGATGTGAGCGATGAGGCAGCAAGGGAAAGAACCTAACATTGTATATGCAAGCGAAGCTGGCAGGTGGGATGGTTGGCAGGCAGGGTGGCGATCAAGGGAGCAGCAGATTGGCACGTGCTTGCCGGCTTCACTCACACACATCCACCCCAGGCGTAGGCGGCAGCGTCACCACCACCACCGCAGCAGGACCCACCTGCAGCCCGTTCTTGCCGTAGAGCAGCGCCTGCAGCTGCAGCAGAATGTCCGGCACCTGGTTGCCCTCCAAGTCATGCGAACACTGTAACGTCTCCGGCCGCACCCCAAACACGGTCCGGCTGGGGAGGGGGGGTTGACGTGACGGGCGGTTTTCGAAAGATGGAAGAGCAAGGAAGAGCGGGAGGTTGTAAGGGTGTGAGGAGAAGAAAAGAGGTGCACCACCAGCACCCGGTTGCCCTCCGAGTCGTGCGGAACACTGCAGCTTCTCCGACCGCACCCCAACACACTCCGGCTGACCGGGGAGCGAGGGAGGGAAAGGTGAGACGGGAGGTTGGGCGGTGTGTGGGGGGAGGGGTGGGGTGAATGCTTCGACCGGGCCAACCGCACCGCACGAGCCATCTGGAAAGCTGAAGAAGCCCAAAGGGAGCCCCCAAAGGGAGCCCCCAAAGGGAGCCCCCAAAGGGAGCCCCCAAAGGGCGCGCGCGGGCAGCTGACCTACGAGGGGGCTCGTGCCGGCAGGCAGCCTCCCGTGGAAATCGTCCAGGAGGCCGAGGAAGCCCTGGAAGCGGTCCAAGGTGACATGGCGTGCATCACGCGGCTCACTTGACCCACAATCCCTCCTCTACCTCGCGCTGGGGGCTCGTGCCGGCAATTCCCCGTGAAAGTCATCCAGGAGGCCGAGCAAGCCCTGGAAGCCGTCGAAGGTAAGGTGACGTGCGTCACGTGGCTCACCTACAATCCCTCCCTCCTCTACTGAGTCGACTCAAAAGTCAATCCCTCCTCTACCTCGCGCTGAGGGCTCGTGACGGCAGCTCTCCGTGAAAGTCATCAGGCAGGCCGAGGAAGCCCTGGAAGCGGTCGAAGGTGACGTGCGTCACGTGGCTCACGCCCGTCGGCGCGCCTATCTCGATCTCCCGCTCGTCATCTGGGGGATTCCGGGGGGGAGAGCGTGCGGAGGGGTGCGGGGAGAGGAGGGAAGGGGAGGGAAAAGGGGAGGGGGAGGGGGAAACGGAGGGGGAGGGGGAAGGGAAGGGGGGAAGAGGGAGGGAGAGAGGGGCGGGGAGAGGGAGGGGGAGAGGGAGGGGGAGAGGGAGGGGGAGAGGGGGAAAGATTCTTCGGAGATGTTTCAGAAAGAACTTACTTTCCTGCCGACACGGCTATTTTAATCACATGGCTGGCTTCGGGAAAAGGGTTGGGGAAGGCGGGGGCGAGGGGGGATGGGTGGAGGGGGAGTTGACACGACGAGGGGAGTTGGAACAACGAGGTGAGTTGACACGACGGGGAAGTTGGCACGACGAGACGGCGGGGAGTTAGACGAGGAGGTATCGGTCATGCGAAGAGCACGAGAATCCATTTCGGGAATAAATGTATCAACGCGATGACCCACGCGTTGACCTACAAGATGAGCTTCACAATTAGGCCTGTTCAGTGGACTTTAGAGTACAGACTAGCTAGTAACGTGGGACGTATCGCCACGAGAGATTGTGGGACGTATCGGGAAGGAGGATTAGCCGGTATGCTCAAAACCTGGCTGCTGATATGTGGCGCATGGAGCGCCAGCGAACAAGAAACGACACGGCCGGCTTGTAAAAAAACGAGCCACCTGCGACGTCTGTGAGCAGGTCAATTAGTCTCTTTTTGTAAACGACATTCAAGTCGACTCCTCAACGGTCGATGTGAGTCTAAACTGCTGCTTGAGATCCGTCGAAGCGGCTTTGACGGTTGAGGGACAGAACGACGACAAAACTTATTTTCAGGAGAACGAGGGCTAGCCGTTGATTGAAATTACCTCGCCCTCTGGTCCGTCCGATGCGGCTGATCGACCTGACTAACTTCCAGCTGCCGTTGATGACGTCCATTCCATTACAGTCGTAAATAACTTCTAATAACAATGTTTCGAAAGAACCTTCTTAGCTCTCGCTCTCCTCAAACAACCACACCTGCGCTCCATTTCGCATATGTTATCCGGCTGCCGTCCGTAACAAAAAAAATAATATGTACGGTTCGCGGAGTTGCTAAGCAAGTTGTGACCTAAAAGCTAGTTTCGTTTCGAGGTCTCAATGCGGCCGTGGGAAGCGGGGTGGAGCGTCCTTGGTCGGAAGACAAAATTGCCCACACACACAGACTCACTCACGAAGCACTCTCACACACACACACACACACACACACTCACACACCCACTTTCGTACACACACACACGCCCAGATGGTGTACAGCAACTTCCAGTACGGAAGGCAGCGGACAGAGTCAGCAGACTCGTCGTTACGCTCGTGGCATGGGAACGCCAATCAGCGGCGACGGACACGTTGGGTTGGTGGGGGGGGGAGTGGTACGCGTTGTGACAAATTGGGCTTCCTTAAATAAGTTAGTTTTCAATACAGTCCTAATTTCAATGCCTTATGTTGCAACTTTGACTTCAACAAAGCTTCCCAAAGCACTGCTCCTGCTAATTCACGAGCAGCAGACCTGCTGTGTTCTGTTAGTGGCTGGCTTACGAGGTGGGACGGACGCGGATTTGGCGGGAAAAGAGGCTCGACGCGGAGCCTCGGAGACTAGCGTCGCTGTCGTGCCAATTTCCTTTCCGAAGTTCCCGTTTAGGCTCGTCGCTTCCGTCCAGTCTCGTCTCTACCGTTTCGTCTCATCGCCCTCGTTTCGCCTTATCGCCCTCGTTTTGTCTCGACTCGCCTAGACTGGTCCCCCGTCAACCATGACCTCTCTTCTCGCCCCGCATTCCGCCGTCACAGCCGCCGTATATTGCGCTGCTGCACACATAAGGGCTGAACGATCCGCATCAGGACTTCCCCAACTGCTCTCTGGTCGCAAGTCCGTTACGTCAACTTCCTAGAAAGACGATTACGTCACCCGTTATCCTCTCGCCGACCACCCACCTCAGCAGCAGTTGCTTCCACGCGAAACGTCGTAGTCGCCGCGTCTTCATCGAGCTCTGAGGTTCGTGCATTCCCGATTCATCTGTTTTGTTTTGTTTCTTGAGGCACCTCAAGGTTAGCGCGTCAGGTGATTCTGATGCATGTGATGCATCGCCACCGTTGACGCCGTCGATTTCGGAGACACGAGTCGTGCTATCTCCGCTATTCTCTCCAGAATCCCATATCCCCCGTCCGACGGCCCTGTTCATCCTTCACCACTACCTATGAACCACCAACACATGTACACCTCACTCATAGTTTCAGGCGTTTCTCCGGCCCGTGTATTCTGTGCCGGACTGCAGCGGCCATGGCTGGCCGCAGTGTGCCGTGTGACATGGGAAGCGGGTCAATGTGTAGTCACAGTGAAGTTGACAGCCGCCTCTTCCTCTCTTCCCGTATCCCTCTCTTCTCCCCGCACTCCCATTCTAACGCCTGGTGTCCCCAGGCTGTTCTCTCTGGTCCCTCCACTCCCCCCGGACTACAGCGGACAGGGCAGGGCTGGTTGAAGTGCGAGGTATGCCAGGGGCAGCAGGTCAACGTGAAATCCCACAGTGAAGTTTATAACCATCTCTTCCTCTCTTGCATCTTCTCTCTTCCCCTTTACTCCCAACGCTTGGTGTTCCCCAGGCTGTTCTCCCCAACCCCTCCATTCCGTGCCCGGACTCCAGCGGCCAGGGCTGGCTGCAATGCGAGGTGTGCGAGGGGCAGCGGATCAACGTGAAGTCCCACAGTGAATCCTATAACCACCTCTTCCTCACTTGCCTCTTCTCTCTCTCTCCTTTTACTCCCAACGGTTGCTGCTCCCCAGGCTGTTCTCTCCACTTCCACTATCCCGTGCCCGGACTGCAGCGGCCAGGGCTGGCTGCAATGCGATGTGCGGCAGCGGGTCTAAGTGAAGGTCACAGTGAAGTCAACAAACGCCTCTTCATCTCTTGACTTGACCCCTTTCCCCTTTGACTCCTAACGCCTGCTACCCCCCAGGCTGTTCTCCCCAGTCCCACTATTCCGTGCCCGGACTGCAGCGGCCAGGGCTGGCTGCAGTGCGAGGTGTGCCAGGGGGAGAGGGTCAACGTGAAGGTCAACAAACGCCTCTTCCGCCGCTGCCCTGGCTGCTATGCCGTGAGTCTGTGTGGCTGTGTGTGGTTTGGAGGGTTTGGTGGGTAAAGCAGAGGAAGGGGTTTGGAGGAGATAAGTGGTGACGTGTGTGGGTTTGTGCATGCCTTTGCATGCTTTTCTGTGTGTGATTGCATGCATGTACGTGTGTATGGTCATCTTGGCCCGCTTTTACAAACCGTGAGTCTGAGTCGACTCAAATGAGTGTGACTTCATGCGTGTTATTGTGTAAGGTAAGCTTCTGCCGCTTCTACACTCAATCCTAGCAGCACACCACTTTTCTGTCCTTCCAGCATTTCGCACTGTACCTGCGAGGCATCCTCTTCCATTGCAGCTGGTGTGTCCCCCATTTTGCTTCCTCTCTCCTGCTCCCTATATCTTATATTCTTGGACTTCGCAGCTGGGGATGACGCTTTGTCAGAAGTGTAAAGTGTACAAATGTGTCACATTTCCAGATGGCGTTGATGGTGGTGCTGTAGACCAGGGCTCTCCCTAGCATTTGAGGCCGCCTGATGGACCAGACAGGCCCTCCGGGCCCGTCTGTTCCATCAGAAATTCTCAAAATTTCCGTGTATGCTCCATCAGGAAAAATTTGGAAAACTCTTCCTGATACATCAGATGTTTTATTTTCCTATCAGAATTCATATTACTCTTGCCGGTTGTGGAGTTATTATTGAAACTGATAGCAAGAATAAGAATACATAAATGTAATAATCCCGCCCCACCGTCTACAGCAAGGTCTGGTTGAACTAAACATCCTACTGAACTTATGAAGTATCGAACATCCTACTTATTAAGTTTCAGCACTAACTAGGTAGCCTTGAAACAGGCTTTTCACTCAGAGTCAGACGACTCCAGGGTCACAGTCGCCCGCACATCAAGACCTGCGTCCTCCTCATCCTCGTCGTCACTGTCAACTGCTCGTGCCTTATTCTTTTTCTTCCTTTTTTTCTCCGCCTCTGTCAGTTCCTCGTCCTCCGAGTGTTAGAATCTAGAGACAAGGATGATGCATTGATCAAGAGTTGGGTACATAAGCTAACCCTAACATTGGGTTGTACCCCATATGGGCTACCCCACTAGCAGCCTACACAAACACAATATGCATAGTTTGACACACCCCCATAGGCAAAGTGGGGGAGAACAAGGGGTCACAAGACCAGTCAAGAGAAACAAAACAAGCTCAGGGTGGATCACAACGTCACCACACACACTGAGCACAAGCAAAGGGCCACAAGGCCTGTCCACATGCAGAGGTATATATGCAACAAACAAAGTACAGTGATCACTACCTAGCAAGAGCAAGCATGCAGGTATATATATATATAAAGATCACAGTACAGGCAGAGTCTACAGCAAGTGTGGAAACGTAGGCACAAGGCCCAACAAGGTACAAAAGCGCTGATGATCACCAGACGGAAGTGCCTTGGTGAATATATCAGCAGTGTTGGCCCGAGTGGCCACGTGTGCAAGACGAAGCTGACCACGCTGCTGCAACTCTCGAGCCAGGAAGTAACGCAGAGCGATGTGCTTCGTTCTGTGCTCCAGTCTGTGCTCCTCACACAAGGCAATGGCTGCCTTGTTGTCAACGTACAGAACTGGAGGAGAACGAGGCCGCTCTCCCAGGTCGGTCAGCAGGTAGGTGAGCCAGCGCAGCTCCTGAGCAGCCATGGCGGTGGCGTAGATCTCAGCCTCACAACTGGAGCTGAGAACAGAAGACGAGCGAGTAGAACGCCACGAAACAGAACCAGAGCCGAGGCTGAAAGTGTAACCCTGTGACGACCGCTGTGTAGCCTGGTCGTCAACCCAAGACGCGTCTGAGTGCCCAGTGAGGACCACCTCTCGCCGTCCTCCAAGCACGAGCCCCATGCCCGATGTACTGCACAAGTAGCGCAGTACCCTCTTCGCAGCATCCCAGTGCACCTTTCGGTGCCGACTAGGAGCCACGTAGCGGGCCAAAAGGCCAAGAGGGTACGCAAGGTCAGGACGAGTGCAAGTCATCAGGTACATGAGGCAGCCTACTAGCTCTGGGTAAGGACCACTCGGCTCTACGGACTCGTCCGAAGGTGGAGCTGAGAGCGAGTGACCTGTAGCCAGAGGAGTGGACTGTGCCGAGGACCAGGTGAAGCCGAAGCGCTGAAGGACCTGCTGCACCATGTGTGACTGAGTCAGAGTGATGGTGCGACGTGCTCTGTCCCGGGTGATCTGCAAGCCAAGGTAGCTGCGCAGCTCACCCAGATCTGTGCACGTGTGTCTCTTCTGCAGCTCCGACTTCACCAGGGCGAGAGCCTCAGTGTCAGCAGTGGCAAAGACCAAGTCGTCGACGTACACGAGGATGTAGAACGGCGGCAGCGAAGTGTCGGTGCGCAGAAACAGTGACGGGTCAGCTGTGGAGGGCGCAAACCCGAGAGCCGCAAGCGTAGTCCTCAGTGTGTCGTGCCACTCACGAGGCGCCTGACGGAGACCGTAGACTGGCCGGCGGAGGCTCCACTGGGTACCAGGAGGGAACGACCCAGTGAAGCCAGGTGGGCGGCGCAGCCATATCTCCTCGTGCAGGCTGCCCTGCAAGAAAGCTGTGCTGAAGTCAAGCGAGTGAAGCTCGTAGTCACGCTGGGCGGCAACGTGCAGCAGTACCCGAAGAGTGGTCATCTTCGGGGTGGGGGAGAAGGTCTGGAAGAAGTCAACTCCCTCTTGCTGACTGAAGCCTCGAGCAACGTAACGTGCCTTGAAGACAGGCGGAGAACCAGGCGGCCGCTTCACCCTGAAAATCCACATGCCACTGACGATGTTCGCCCCAAGAGGGGGAACCTCGTCGATGTAGGTGCCTGTGGACTTCCAGGATGCCATCTCTGCGTCCATGGCTGCCTGCCACTGAGAGGAGTAGGGACCCGCGACCGCCTCAGCGTACGAGCGCGGGGTGGGGATGTCTAGTGCATCCGGGTCTCCCTCAGGGGCAAGCAGCATGGTCACGAGATGAGGCGCAGCGGCTGCAAGACACTCAAGGTCCTCGTGCCTGTCCTCAAGGACGTCCGTGCTAAGAGCACACTCACCCCCGACGGACGGAGGACAGACAGACTCAGACTCAGTAACAAGACTAGTAGCGTAGTCTAGACGACAAGGTGTGCGGTGGGGACAGGCGGCGAACGCGGACACGGAACACGACGACCGGTACGACTAGGACGAACAGGCGAGACAGGACGCGACGCAGGCTCACGACGCTCAGCAAGACTACCAGTGTGCTCAGTGTAAGGAGAAGGAGCAGGCAGCGGTGAGCCAGGCCCTAACGGAAGACCAGTAGACGACGGGAGAGTAAGAACCTGACGAAGAGCAGAGTCAGGCGGCGGCAGAGACGACGGAGACGGCGGAGCGAAGAACAGGCGTGGCGGCGCAGCTGCACCAGAACCGGCAGCTCCAGCAGCTCCAGTACCCCCAGCAGCTCCAGCACCTCCAGCAGCAGAACCGACACCTCCAGGCCCAGGGTCTCCAACCCCAGTGCCTCCAGCAGCAGCACCCCCAGAACCAGTACCTCCAGTCCCAGGGTCTCCAGCCTCCACGTCTCCAGCAGCAGCAAACCAGCACCTCCAGTCCCAGGGTCTCCAGCCATCACGTCTCTAGCAGTAGCACCCCCAGAACCAGCACCTCCAGTCCCAGGGTCTCCAGCCTCGGTGTCTCCAGAAGCAGCACCTCCAGACGCAGCACCCCCAGCCCCAGCAATTCCAGTACCTCCAGTACGAGCACCTCCGGGACCAGCGACTCCAGCACCTCCAGTAGAAACAGTACCAGCACCACTCCCAGCTCCAGGGACGGCAGCAGAAGTACCTCCAGCAGTAGAGCCCCGGGCTCCAGCAGCGCGACCCTGACGGCGACCGTACCAGTCGTGCAGCTGCTGCGAGGTGAGAGGCACACGTGGACGAAGGCGGCTACTCCAAGGAGACCGCGCAACAGCAGACTCTGAACCCTCAGCGCCAGCACCCTCAGCAGCTCCAGCGCCACCAGCACCAGGACCTCCAGCAGCTCCAGAACCTCCAGCGCTAGCACCCTCAGCAGCCCCAGAACCACCAGCTCCAGCACCTCCAGACCCCTCACACGCAGGCTCAGCACCTCCAGGCTCGACACTTTCAAGCTCCGCACCCCCAGGCTCCTCACCCCCAGGCTCAGCACCCCCAGACTCAGCACCCCCAGAAGTAGCACCCCGAGCAGGACCACCCCCAGCAGGACCTGAGTCACCAGTGACCTCAACCAGCGCAGGGAAGGGAGGAGGGTCTACCTGAGACACACCTGAGGGAGCAGGACCTGGAGCGGGGAGAGGGTCGACCTGGGGAGCACCTGGAGCGAGGAAGAGCGGCGGGGGAGGGAGAGACGCAAAGACACGGCGCGAGGTGGGGTGGTAAAACTGCCAACCAGGCGCGTCAGGGACAAAGCCAAGGAAGACACAGGGAACTGCACGGGCGGAGAGCTTGTCCGCGGTGGTATCGCGGACAAAGGTACGAGCACCCCAGACCCGGAAACACGACGCATCGCCAACCTTCCCCGTCCACAGCAGTGTGGGCGAGGTCTCCGGCAAGGAGACACGGGGCCAGAGGTTGAGCTGATGCGTGGCGTACCGGACCGCAAACGGCCACAGAAAATGGGGGGCAGCCGCATGGATCATGGAGGTACGAGCGACCTCCATGACTAAGCCAATGCGGCGCTCAGCAACCCCATTCTGCTGCGGAGAGGCCAGAAGCGTGAACGACTGGGTGATGCCGTGCTCCGCACAGAAGGCCGCCAAGAGGTCGGAGGAGAACTCACCACCTCTGTCAGAGTGCAGACGCAGGACGGGAAACTCCGTCCCGAACCGCTCGCGGAGCTGGAGACGGGCAGCGCGGATCCAAGGGATCAAAACAGCAGGGACCTCCCCCTTGCTGCGCAGGGGAAAGACCGTGGTGTAACGCGTGTAGTCGTCAACAACCAGCAGGAAGTACCGCTCGTGGCCCTGTCCACGGACGCGGGCTGGGCCCCACACGTCCAGGTGGAGAGTCTGCAGGGGAGCCTCTGTGGGAGGGAACGAGGAGGAGTGAGGAGCGGCGCGCTGCCGCCCCTCGACGCAAGGAATGCAGGGCGGCGCAAGCGAGGGAGGCAGGGCAGGCAAAGACCTGGGCAGACCAGAAACCAGGAAGCGAGAGTGCATGCCACGAAGGCGCTGCACCGAGGGGTGACCAAGGCGGTGGTGCCACAGGAGGGTCTGGTGCGACAAAGCGCGACACTCGCAGGGGGCCGTCGGCTGACCGGACGCAGACGCAGACGCAGCTACCTGAGCGGACGCAGTGGTCAGGGTGTACAGACTCGAGCCAGGCGCACGGGAAAACGTGGCCAGGTGTCGGCCGGTCCGAGCACACGTGCAGTGAGTGAACTGGTGCACCCCCTGATCCTGGAGGTCAGCTCCACTCACCAAGTTCGTAGAGAACGAGGGGAGGTAAAGACCTGACAGCAAGCCAGACGGGGCGGCCGGACACGGCA